CTTGCTTGATAGAATGGGAAGAGCCTACACATCAGGATTTAAGACCTGGGTTTGATCCTGCGAGTTTGAATACCAGACTCACTATGTTTTCAGAGCGGATTGGTATACTGGTGAGTAAACGCTCAATAGTGGACGGCTTAACGATTAGTCACTGGAGTTCACGATGCCTCCCGGAGGTGAAAATCATCCCATATATCATAAATTTCAGGTCATTAATAGCTACTCGGGTCTTGAAGAATCTTTTGGATCCACTCAATTTAGTGGTTTCCCGTGTTTGGTGCTGACACCATTTTTATGGGGAGCATCATAAAAGTAAACCGTTGACACACTTTCTAGAATCTTGTATTCCTCACCATCATCGTGTACCATTTCCATCAGCACTGCAGAGAACACATCGCCTGTCTCTACCTCTCCGGAAAGGTCCCACTGTGGCCTCACCTAACAGACAATTGGTACGTATCAGTCTGGAGAACACTGTGGATCGAAATCGTGTCGCGGTTGCTCTAGCTGTCAAGATGTGTCGACAAACCAACATAGGCCAGTCTTATCATCAATCCTCTGATTCGAATTACCCACAATCTGTAGATTATAAGCAAACGGAGATAAGCTTAGGTCAAACCGCATGGTGATCACTCAACCGAAATCCTTCATTGCTGTTGGGGGGGGGGCTGGGGGCTCTACATTTCGTTGATCCTCCACCGCTTACGTGTTGACTACTCTATTTCCGAAGAACAGGAGAGTGTAAATAGACAGAAGCAAAAGGTGTTTTTATCAAATCAGCATACTTGTTGGAGTAGGAAGCGAATGGCACGGGATGCTTGATGATTCTCTTTTCTTTGCTGTTTGATCATACCGCGCTGCCGTTTGTAGGTCTTTTCAAAATACTGTATGGCGGCTCCATCGTTCACTATAGTCTATGTTCAAGTGCTCATGTCCAATATAGTGGGAACCGGTACTCTGCAAAAAGTTAGTTTCCCAATGTTGCGTTACTAACAGTTTAGAACCCTTACCGGTCCATCTCTCGAGGTCATTCATAGCATCAGCATAGAGACTGTAAACAGTTTGCCTTTTCTCTTCCATCTCTTTGGCCGTTAAAAGCCCCTTCTTGACTTGGCGTCGGAAGCCTTTAGCCTGGCACGAAACATCTTTGTAATGCGCGATCTTAAGATCAAAGGCGTGAGACGACATCTGAACGCGGGACATCATCATCGCCTCCGTCATACGGTAATCTTCTCTCCACCTTTTCAAAAAGGATTCTGATTCAAAGGCCAAGCAATAGTCCTCCGCACGTTTCCAATCTGATTGCTGTTAGCAAGGCGTATTCATCATACGAACCATGTCTAGCCCGAGGTGAGAGATCTTTGCAATGCATTATTATAAACTGATGTGAAGGCAGCCAATTCTAGTGTGGTTTTCGGTTTTTTCCACTGCGAGTGGATTCAATATATATACTCAAGGTGGAAAATTTATAGACGTTAATATGCAATCGGTCGGCCCATCCCAGCCCTCAACATTTAAGATGAGGAACTAAGTAACTTAACGTACTGTAGCAAAATTAAACAATATGGGATAGTTTCCCGGCTTACTGTTGGCTCCTTAGAGATATGCAACACTAGAGACTTGTCCACAAGAGATAGAGTGGGACGGTGAGGCCCACATCTGTTACTAGGTACATGATTATTTACAGTGTACATACCTCTCCTGGAAAAGCCGTTTTCCCCCTACTCAAACCTAGAAATGAGGATGGTGGGGTTGCAAGCAAACAAGCCTTGCCATAACCCATGAACTGGATAGATTGATCGAGGAACGTTCATATCCACTCTAACTATTCCTGCAGGTTGATCCAAATTATGCTTCATGATTTCCGGGAGCGCTGGAGATCTGGAAATCGCTATGAACTATCTATGATTGATTGATGAAATCCTGTAGGATGAATATCCTATGAGTTATTAGTTATTGAATTCTGCTCGGCGATGGATCTCTCCTGGCTACCGCTGTTCTCATCCAGCTCGACGTCATTAACCCGAAGCCTGAGGATCCTCGCGCCCCAATAGAGTGGATGCAAGTCCTACCAATTTCACTTCTATCATTCCAGGCAGGCGGCCAGATCTGTGCTTCAAGGATCCTCGCACTAGATGAGATACCGACAGTAGTGGTGACAACACTCTTATGTGATCTTCTTGTTGATCCTAAATTGACTGCAAAATTCAATCCAAAGCGGAATCGCCGGATAGGAGCATTCCTCGCATTGTTCTTTGGCGCTATGACAGCTGGTGGACTCTCCAAGTCTACAGGTATGGCAAGTAGTATATGGGTTGCCATGGGCGTGAAGTTGGCAATCACCTTTGGGTGGGTCGTTTGGCGACGGGAGGGGAGGAGAAAGAGTGATGTGGATGTGTGATTTAATTGTGTTTATTTCTCTGACTCTTTTTCATCGAACAATTATCTGGCATATACGTGAGCTTTGAGGTTATATGGATAAACCACTGCATAGGGTTTATAAAATATTATTTTGTTGGCTTTCCCATTTCTCATTTCCCATAAAGCACTGTAAAGCTATGCATACCGAGAGACATCCATGGATGACAGAGGGTTACATAAAATAAGTCAAACTCGGGTGAATTTTGCGTAGGTGATAGGCTGTGACTATAATGTCAAGGACAAAATAAACCTCACATATCAATTAAACTCAGAATATATATCCCCAACTCCACAATAACGGGACAAGGGTCTGACGAATATGCCCCTCCTTATCCCACAAAGCGCCTTACCAGAAGGCTATTTTTCTGTGGCAGCCAGATATTCACCAGAAATTTCTTCGCGTCATAATACATGGTGAAATGGGGATGGCACGATGGCAGTCTGGCATACAGGGAGGATCGAAATCAGTTTCACCATTTACTCTCAGAGATTCTTTCTCGGATCTTCTTTTGGAACACGCTATACCTATTGCGGTTACTCTGTCCCTGAACCCCATTTCTTGGCAGTATTTTAGTACAATCGTAAATAACAGCTTAAAGATAGCTCCTGTACTAGGCTTGTAAGGTCTCCAGGGGGTCTAGAATGTTGATTCAGTAAACAAGCCTGACAGACGGATGCTCGTTTGGAGACGTGGCAGGGATTTGAACCTCCATATCCCACTACTTGTGCTCTAGAGTGACCACTGCGAACGAGCGAATTGTGTAGAGACAGTATTAGTGGGTAGTGCTTCTTGTAATAGGCTTGGCATTATGCTTCCCATGACTTTAGCGTGCCCCCCACGATCGTCGCTGTGTGCAATATTAGACATGTCTACCCCCTGCTGACGGCATCCAACTTACGCCAACAGGCCTTGTAGGGAGTTAAGTCTAGATATGTGCGGCAGCCATTACAATGACGATTACATCTTTCAGCCCCAACTGCTTAAACCATGGAGCCCTGATTCACAACATTATCCCCGTACCCCACGGTACTGTACTTCCTACTGCTGCGCGGTCCCTCTTTTTCCCCACCTGCTCCGCTATTCTCACTGCTTGTGATGTGGGTCATATTATGAATTCCCGTCGCCACCTTTGCTGCCCCGACCTCCTATTCCCCGCTCACCTTTTACTCTGCGTCTACCCTTATACTAAACACTTAATACAGATGTCTTCTTCCCGGTTCAGGCCGACTCGTCCTCATACGCCAACTACCAAAGCCTCAGTAGATGAAGAATCGGGAACAATCGTATTACAAGACGACTTAAAAATGCGAAGACTCTCAGCAGCCTGCAAAGAGTGTCAGCGTCGGCGGACCAAAGTAAGGATCCTAAATCATATCGCATACTTAGCTATTAACTTATTGATGTCTCAAACAATAGTGCAGTTCTGGAAATCCGTGCTTGGAATGCACGAAGCATGGCTCTATTTGCATATTAGATAAGAGCTCCGACAAGCGACGCAAAAGCTACGTAAGGAAGATGGACGAAGAACTTGGTTACTATCAGAGGTTTTTGGACGACTTTCTGAGGGCAATCCGGAAATCTAATGATGATGACGTCCATCACATCATCAATATTGTGCGGTCGGGGTCATCAACCAGTGGAATACAATTTGAGGTGGACGACGTTCTTATGGGGAATAATCATTCTGGGCCCGCAGTATGATTTATGCAAAACCACTCAACAAAGCTCTGAGCGGATTTCACAGATGGCTGCTGATGCGGGAGTCGACCTGATTTATATATTCTCATACTCGCCGGACCTGCAGATGCCAGTATTCTCTGCAAATGTATTACAGTTAATTTACGAAACTTTCCATCACGTGAGGAACCCTTTCAATACGATTCAGTATTTGAATCCGAGCTAATCCTGGACTGGATTAGTGTGTTTCGGAACTGGGCTCGAGACAGATTCTGTGAGAACAAAGTGGTGAAACTAACTTCGAGCCATCCTGTACACCCTGGCGCCATGTAGAGCTCTTTTTTGGTCGGGCTGACAGTCGCTCTTTAGTTGAGGGGAGT